ACTTGTACCTTGAAAATGAAATCATGTACCCCAATTTTTATTACTTTTTTAATTTCTTCAGCTGATATTATGCAAAATGATAAAGTTTAATCAAAATCAACTGAATTTTGGGAACAAACTCAATTTTTTAAGCCACATAGAAGAGATTCTGCTAACAGTCGGTCTCAATAAATGTTCAGGATTTATATATTTCTTTTAACATGTAGCTGGACAGCAGTAACAAGTACAGTCAGCTCAAGTATTATCAAGTCTATTCCTCATAATGAAACTTTTCATTCAATCATTCAGTACATAGTACAAACATAAAATTTTGCAAATTATAGTAGAAAATTTACACCAGTCATAAAAGCAGAGAGTTTTAACAATATAAGTTTTTTAAAATCTTTAAGTTAAGCAGGAATGCAAAATAACCAAAAAAGGTTTTTACAGGGATGCTACCCTGTAAAAAGTGGCTGATAATCTGAAATTCTCTGATGATAATCTGGTATAATACTAATCTGCAAATCAAAACTTGTTTGGACACATGGTGCACTAAAGGTCTGGGGTGAAATGCAATTTATATATAGTCTATATTGTATTGTGCTGAATGAACATTGTTAGAGTTAACATACTTTGCTTGTGTTCAGTAACGTGTACAACTGATATATTTTCTTTATCACAGACTAATGCAAGGACAACGTAACTAAAAACAGGCTTCACACACCTGGAGAATGCATAGCTTTTGGGGATCTATATGTATACAGTACGAGACTAAAATAAATATTAAATTAAATTCATGTAAGTCATTCTGAATACTAATTCTGTGCAATAACACTTGTTAACACTTTTGCAGGTTTTTCATTCAATTTTAATACAGCATAATCATGCACTGTACTATCTTCAAGACTGATTAAGAGTATGACTAGTTAGATTCTTTCTAAATTTCATGAATATTACCTAATTAATTATTATTAATTCAGTTCAAAAAGAAAATGCTTTACAATCTTTTTAGCAGTTTTCAAAAAGTATTGTTTCCTATTCCAAATCAAACTTTTCTTCTTTTTATTATATAGCATAACAGATTGACAATTGCAATTTTCTTCAGATGTATCATTCTTCTGTTGACATGGGTTTTCCAACACATGTTTCATATACAGGAAACAGTCATTACAATCATATTTCCTTTGTTTTACAACACAATGTCCTTCCTGCTACAAACCTTTTATCTGAACTTGAGTAGTCAGAGAGCCACCAAGCTTGAATGGAGATAAACAATAGAACTTTGTATTGTGCATCATCTCCGACTGCAACATTACCTGGCTCTCTCACTTTACTGTTCTGACAAGAACTTGTGTGTTCAATGGTCATTAGCTATTGCTCTGATAGTTGTAATTACATATCTATAGAATGCTCTCTTACTGTTTTAAATATACATGGGTCATCTAAAGCAGCGATTCCCAACCTGTGGTACGCGTACCCCTAGGGGTACGCGATAGGTTGTTTAGGGGTACAGAAAAAAGTTAGTTATTATGGCAGAAAAAATAATATATTATGTATCACAAACTAATAGTATTAAAAAATTATTAGATAAAAAATGTTCCTTGCAACAATCACAACTTTATTATACATTTTTTCTTTTAGTTTTTTTTTCTTTAATTTAAAGTTACAATATGTAAAATTAACAATACGATTACTCACTAAATTTCTTAAATGAGGGGTACAATCTAGAGATATGACATGTCAAGGGGTACAATCTAGAGATATGACATGTCAAGGGGTACAATCTAGAGATATGACATGTCACGGGGTACGCTAATGAAAAAAGGTTGGGAACCACTGATCTAAAGGGTAAAACTGTTTGGTTATAAAAAATATAAAAACTAAGAAAATTCGAAAACTTTTTTATTACAATAAGAGTACTTATTTACATTTTTTTCAACATACCCTCCATAGATATTTAAACATTTGTTGTAGCAGTACACAAGCTTCTGAATACCCTCATCATAGACTGCTTATGTACTTAGCTAGCTTCAACTTCAGTTTTCACATTCTGCTTCCAAAATATTCTTTAAATGTTTGAAAAAATGATAGTAGGTCAGAACTGAAAGATGATGTTCAAAAACTCCACATCCAAATTGCTAAATCAATTTCTAAATTCTGACAGCAGCATGTGGACATGAATTGAAATATGCATCTTGAGAGTATGATCAGTAGGCAATTTTGAATTGCATACCATAAAAATTTTTATGGTTTGGTAGTATGATTTCAACATTAACTGTGGCATTCCTCGGCTTAAACTCTACTAAAATCAGGTCTTTCCTGTCCAACAAAACAGTGAACCATCACTTTATGAATGGATAGTGTCGGCTTAAATTTTTTGGGTTTGGTAGGTGATTATGTGTGATGTCACTACAGAGATTGCCACTTACACTATGATTTGAAGTGAGATACCCATGTTTCATAATCTGTGATGATTTGATCCAAAAAATGAATCACCTCTTTCATGATAATATTGCAAAAACATAAGTGTTTCTTATTACATTTGCCTGACATTCTTGTACACACCTTGCATAGACTTTATGGTACCCAATGTGACTTGCAAAAATTTATTGGATAAAAGAATGGAAAATTTGCAGAAATTTCATTGCCATTTCCACTAACAGCAGTGTTAATTTTCCTGACTGAGTTCCGAGTGATGAGCGAGGACTGGTCAGTGTGTTCCTCATTGTAAATGTTTGTTCTATCACCAACAAACAAATTATACCATTTTTGAACACTACCCTCATTCATTACAAATTCTCCACATGCTGAAGCAAGCCAACAATGAATTTCAAATGGTCGAATGCTTTCCACATTCAAAAATAAATGACAGATCTCACTTCATAGTGAAATTTTCAATTTTTCTGCTCATTTTAGTCTGTAGAATTATAGAAACAAAAGCTAGACAGTTGAAATATCTCACAGTGGTAGCTGAGAAATGACTGAAGTAACTGACTGACATAACCAGGTGATGTGCACATGACTGTTATGCACAAACTGTTCTTATTTTCTTAATGACCCTTGTAATTAATATTTTTGATATAGAGATATATAATATAATTCCATTTGTGTAATTAACAACATTAAAAACATTGCATTTGAAAATACACAAATATTCTATAATTATCAATAGAAAAAAATCAATCATTTATTTATATATTATATTATATATATAAGATTTAAATGAAGTGATAACTAAAATTTTTTAACAAATTAAATCAAAATTGAGTTTATGATTCTATTTATAAAGTTTATCTTTGTTCTTATATTTAATAATAGTTAGTAAAATACAACATTAAAGTTAAGAAAAATTATTATTTTAAACGTACTGAAATATTTCATTCGTGAAATAATTTCGGATTTTATTTGATGTACTATTAAAAAAAAAAACCTTATGTTATAATGAATCTCTTCAAATAAATATTCAAGAAAAACTTTTAAAATCCAGCAAGAAGTTTATAAACCTAACATTTTTGACTTTTTAATCAACTGTCTTCAGCTTTCATTAGCATAAAATACATGTAAAAAAAAAAAAAAAGCAGCATAACATGGACTTGCAGTGACAGGACAACAAAATCCACTTATTATAATCGTGATTATTATTATCAGTTGTTTTGTATCATCAAAATTAGCATGTCTCAAAACATAAGTTAAAATACACTTCACCTATAATCAGAGTTCTGATTATATGTCACCATTATCTTCAACTAAATTCGCTTTTTAAATTATATTTTTGGGCTTGCAGCCTAAACAAGTAGCTAATCACAACTTTTATCGGTCTTAACCATGTTTTAAACAATCATTTTATTGCAGTATATTAGCTTAAATTGTTCACATTTGTTACTTCAATTATATGCCGTATGAACATGCAGGTAACCTTTCAATAAAACAATAGACATGCTCAAGGAAAATGGTGAATTAACCAAAAACAAAAATATATTAAATTAAAATGCATATCCCATAAGAATAGATGTAATAATGGTTTGATATATTCATGGGGTCTGAACCCAAACTGTATACAGTATTTCAGATTTCTTTGATTCCTGTCATCCTGTAAATTGAATGGACAAGTTACAAGTCTATTATAGTGTAAATTCCAATACCTGGAAACGTATCATTAGAATGTTTATCATTCATAATATTATACAATGTTAATAAAGAGATAAATCAGTTAACAAAAATTATTCCAAAATACTGAAGAGACTTCAAAAAACAGTAATAAAATCGATTCAAGACAGTGGCCAATACATCTTAGAAAATTATAGTACGAGAGATATCGTTACGTATTCTCCAAGCAGTATGTACTAATAAGCTTCGATGGAATTAAGTTACACTGAAAATATGGTTAATAATTAATAAACAACATTGAAACAAAAACACTGAGAACACTATGCATATATTACAGTGTAATATAATGATAATATTCACTAATGATAAATAGAATTTTTTTTTTAACAGTTTGAGATAAAGGACTACAGACAAATACATATATTTACAATTTCCTCTCCTCTACATAAAATCCTGTTAATCCAAACAACCAGATACAATAATTAATTCAGATTAGCAAATGCATGCTGCAGTTTATGTTGACTTAAAAAAATGGATTTTAAAAAGCCAAAAATGTTAGTGAAAGTACTTTTCCGGTTTAATTTTAAAGGTAATTGAATATGACTTTTAAAAAAAGACAAGTTTGCGTTCGAGCAATACATTAATAAGACATTCTTCGTAAAACTTTAACCATTGTAAAATACAATAACCGTCGAATAATTTCTACAAATAATTATTTATTCAATAAGCTCTCTAAAAACTTTTAGTTCTTTTTATAATTTAACATACTCTTTAAAAGAAAGAAAGGGTAAAAAATAATAATAACAATAACTTCACATCGTATTAATAAAAAGAACCAAAAGTTTTTAATTCAAAATTTATGGTATTACTTATTATTCAAGTAACATCCTAATCTTAATTCCATTATTTCTTACCAGATATATATTGAATTTCTGTTTAGCATAATACAAACATCTTCGTTATATTTGAATTTTTATTTTCCAAAAGGTAGTCACAGCATAAAAGTAATGACACATGTAATTTGTAATCTGATGTTCTTGACATCTTTAACTTCTAACATCTACAGTAATGGCCAAACTTGCCTTTGTTTATTTGATTTTGGAGTGAATTCTTTCTCATGGTAAGCTGGCACAGATTTGAGTTGCATTGGCAGGATGATATCTCTCTCTGCCTTGATGCTGTAAAACTTGGACAATTCTCTTTCCTTCTTTCTATAAATGGTGTTAGAAAACAATTCAATAATCATATTTAAATCTTTTCGTGAAGCTCAATGTAACAGAATATTCATTAATTTCAGTCTTTGTTTATGGAAAAATTCAAGTAATAAACAAATAAATTTATTAATAATAGAGAAAATATATATATATATATATATACACATATTTCTTTGGAATTAATTGCATATTCTGCAAACTCAAAATTGTACCAGGAATCCATAAAATACGTTAATAAATTATTATAAAAATATACATATATATTCAATAAATTATGATTAAATTTTAAAGGTTTTATTTAATTTTATTAACCATATTCAACATCCCATTTAAACCTTTATAAAAAGCTTTCCCCATTGAAAATCATAAATTTATCAGAGAAGTTTAACATGTTTGCCAAAATACAATTTTTATCAAGGGATATGCAATTAATAGTATACAAATTCATAAACATTAACATTAAATTCATGCATTTATCAAATGTAACCTATATTAACTTCTTCAGTTATTATTATATACAACATATAAAAATGGTATATAATTATGTAAATATATATTTTGTTATGCTTCATTATATATATTATTATTTCAATATCAAGAAAATGAACGCTGGTGGAGCATTGCTGTTCAGCTCTCAACGAGAGGCCATAAGCATTACTATTGAAGTTTCAAAGAAACCGGACTTGCCGGCGTTCATTGAAACTTTCAATAGTAACGCTTATAATATTATTTCTAAGTTATACAAAATTTCTTCCATAAATTTCTATTTTCTACTATTTTCATGAAACACTAAATATATTTTTCATAAATAATAATAATAATTCTTCAAAATATTTAATTTACTTCACAGTAATCAAATAAATTTGGAGCATAAATTCAAATAATCATTTACATGTGTGTGTCAAACTGTGCGCAAATATTGCAGATTGGAAAGTGAAATGGATCGTGCATGTTGTGTAGAACTATATAACGAATAATTTTAAATTACAAAAACGAACATTATAACGTATATAAACAGTGTAATAATCATTAAAAACATACAAAATATATTTTTGCTTAATTTAAGGTTTTATCTCTAAAACAAACTGAAAAAGCCCGAGATAAATTACCGAAAATATTTTTTTTTTATTTTAACGATAATTACATTGCTTTTATTATTTGAAAATATTCATTATGCAAGTCATCAACTACTAGTGATAAATATTTAGTTGTTTAATGTTAAATCTTTAACATTTATTGTGATATTATAGAGATAAGCACAAACTTGGGTGTGTTTGGCAAATGGAGAAAAATCTTCACTGTTATAAGTTATGGACATGTATACACTAGGCAGGTGGATAGAGAAGTCTGGTTGAATGGAGGAATCTGTCTCTACTCTTGACGAGATAACATTTCCACCCGTCTGCCCATCCCCTGCTGATAAGATTTTCGTCCATTTCACCCACTCTGCCCACCTACTCAAGTGTGCGCTTACCTTTGTAATTAGAAAATTTATTAGATCAGTAAATAATTTAAAGTTGTTATTTTTTTTTTCATAAACAATACAAAAATTGGGAAAAATTTTAATGCTTACAAATAGTAATTTAAGATAAATTCTGTATAATTTTTAATGGTGATTAAATTCAATAAAATATAAAAGTCCTCGTGTAATTTGCAAATTCTTTGTTCACTTTAAGTGCTGTTTTTTGAGTATTTTTTCATAGTCAGTTATTTAATGTTTCGTTCACTTGAACACTAATTAATACATGTAAAGTTAGATTGCTAAATAATATACTACCCTAATAAGTATACTATTGAAAAAAATTAACTAAAATTCACATATTTTTTTTGAAAATAAATAATACATAATAAACTAAAAAAAAATTAAACATGAAAATTAATAGAAAAAAAAATATAAATATGTTTCTGACTGACTTCATAAGAAATTTATGTATTAGAAATAATGTTATTGATTATAAATTTAAAAAAATATAAGGGTCTAGTTTAAAGGCTAGTTTATAGTCCAATAATAGCACAGAGTTTCATTCATTAACAATTTCTGAAGTTGACAAGATCATCATCCAGTTTATGGTCAAACTCAGTGTGGTGTGGCTTTAGCATCTAACGCCAAAATTGAACAATTTTCAACTTTGATGCTACCCAATGCCAAATGAGATGTTGTATTGGCATCATGTTTGTGTCATTAGATCAGAAGTATACATCAATAATTCAATATCTAGCAGAAAAGACAGAGAATGTAGTGGAACTCTGCAAACTCTGCTGTTGCAGCACCAAACTGTCAATGGTCTATAAACCAACCATTAGTCCTCCAAACTCAATGGATCCTTTATATGTATATGATCACTTTCAGTTATTTCTTCATATGAAGGCAAATAAATTTAAATTTATTGAGCCATATTTTTAAAGCTGTTTATAGTATTAAAGTAATTACAAAAATTACTTTATTGCTAATACTTTCGGCTTATCTTGTCATTCTCGAGCATCTACCAAAAAAAAGCAGAACAGAATAAAATTTGATTCTAACACTGAATAAAATTTAAAATGTTTCCTAAAGAACTTATTAAAAAATGTTACTTTAAATAACAATAATAAATAAACAAATTATTGTATTACTTGACAATGTTTAATTTGCAAAAATTAAATATATTTTTTTCTAAATAATTTTCTAATTTTTTGTAAAGATTAAATTTATAAATTAAAATTATAGAGCAGATTATTTTTACTAGCATTACATACAATATAAAACAGGCAAGATTAAGATGGTATGGTTACATGGTGCATAAAGAGAATACAGAATTAATATAGAAAATTTATTTAAAAAAAAAAAAATGGGTAACAGAAAAGTGATCAAGCAGAAGCCAGAGATTGAGGTGGAAAGATAAAATACAAAATGAGCAATTATTTATTGTGACATCGTCATAATGCACCTTAAGTTTAGAAGTGTCTTGCCCCTTTAGTAGTATACATCATACTTTTCCTGTTAGCAATTAAGTCGTGGTCATCTAACACCATTCAGTAGAAACTTTTCAAATTTAAATAACATGACTTGTATGGAATCTAAGCATAGGTAGGTCTCTCGTCTGTTGATAGATCCCTAAATAACATTCATTTATAAGAGAGGAACCACTATAACCACTAAATTGCCTCTGGGTCCAGGAAAAATCCCCATCTCAGCTCTTTCAATGGCCCTTCTATGACATCACTTCAATGATATAGAAGATTAATGTAGCCAAGACTGCTAAACTACAAAAATCTTCTCTAATACTGATATTAGGTGGATCTTGTGTAAGTTTTTGAAATATAATTTGATATACAAATATATTACTTTGAATCTAAGACAATGCTGAATTGAAGATACATTTAGATTTTTAAAAAAGGAATTGTCAGGGAAAAAATTTAGATAAATGTAGCTTAAAACACTTCAGTCATCTAACTATTCTCTATCCATGAATTATGCTTCAATGATACAAATGGTATCACTGGAATATTTAAAGTATTTTATTTGGATTATTTTAAATTACTGACTTAAAATAAGCCCGTTTAAAAAGATTCTTTAAAATAATCCTAAGGGCAAAGCTCTAAAAGACCGAAAATCCGAAATTCGATCGGCAAAGTTACAAATGTTTAATAATAAAATTAACACTAGAAATGTATATAATAAGACAATATATGAACACACAGGCTTCGGACTATCCTATGTTAGGTTAGCCATCAATGATAGAATTGCTGTATATTTGCTATTGTCTTTAAAAATAAATTGTTGTTTCAATATATAAATAGATTGTTTCTGAAAGATTGGGAAAAATTCATGTCGGGTATTAAGAAGGTCAAGATGAAGAAAAACATGAGTGAAACCTGAATTATAAAGTCAGATTTAAGAGAAACAAGATTGAGAGTATTTCCATCTGAGGTTCTAAGGAGTTTTTAATAATATTCATAAATAAAATAGTTTTGATTAAATAATTAAAATTATTTTGATTTGTTTTTTGAAACAGTGTCCTGTTTTATAATTGTGGCATAGTAAACACTAGTATTGTGTTTTATTCCAAAGACACATGGCAAATTTTCGAAGACTTCCTTTTAGATAGAAAACAAAACAAAACACAAAAATTTTTTTTTTATCAAACTAACTAATATTAAAATAAGTCAAAACAAACTGAGACTAATTTTTGCTGAGTAAATTACTGATATTTACAATGTCTATAATTCACTGTAGATTCATGCACTTATTTATTCTCTCAATTTAAATATTCAAAGGTTTAAAAATATGTTTTCAAAATACTTAAAGAAAAAACCTCCTCTTACATAAAATTAAAATATATATATTTTTAACTATATAAAGAATGTAATTAAAAAGTAATTAAGATTTAAAATAAACAACAAATATAATCTAAACTTAAAATAATTAATAATTCGTCTTTGATGTATGCAACTGAATCGGTTTGCATTTGTTAATGTTCGATGTCTCAGAAGCTGAAATTTTTTCTTTTAATTAAACTTAAACTAGGTAGCCAGCTAATAAAACTAAAAATAATAATTTAAAAATAATAAAATAATTGTTAAAACTCTGGCCTTTATACTGAAACCGAAATCAAAATTAAAAATAAAATCAAAACTAATTAAAATCAAATCAGTGGAAAATTAAAACGTTTTTAAAAAACATTTAAAAGTTGTTTTGAAATTTTCAAATGTTATTTGTGTACGATGATGAAACAATTTGATTTTAATATATATATATATTATATTATTAAAAATAATATAAAAACTAAACTAATTCTGTATATAACCAAAGGTTATTTAAAAATCAAACTTAAACAATAGTTGTTATGGAAGCAAATGAATAGCCATTTCTTCAGCTCCAACTGAGTCAAAGGTGAGGTCTTTTTGTGTCTCCTATCCCTATGCAAAGACCTTCCTTTTCCTTTGTTAACTTTTTCCATGAATTCATGCAGAGTCCACAGAAGTGGTCCTTTCAAGAAATGCTACGACCTATTTACATGCTGCTTTTTTGTAAAGTGTTGGTTTCAGTTTTCATGGAGACAGAACTGTTAAGTATTTAACAGTTCTGTCTCCATGAAATAATAAAATAGTAAACTTTAATAAAATATTTTATAAATTATTTTTATAATAAAATAAAGAATTTATTGTATCTTCTACTTATACATTCAAGGCAAGTAAATATGATACTTTGAGATTCTGAAATAAATAATTTTTATATAAATCATTTACATTAAATACTGTTAATTAACATACAAAAAAATTATAATAATGAATTGATAAAAAAGAAACTAAGTTACCTCATAAACTTCCATTACGAAACTCATACAACATTGAGTACTCACATATTTATTTATCATGCAGAATATTTTAATAAATACCAGAATTGAATGATTCCAAATGAAAACAAGAAATAATACTTTAAACAGAGTAAAACTTTACAAAAAGTACAAACAAAAACAATTAGAAACACTAAGCATTCAAGTGCTTTCAAGTGTTCCTGATTCATCATCAGGAACACTTGAAAGCACTTGAATGTAGCTGTTACATAGTTACATCTGCTGAACGACGAGTGATGTATGTGTTGGAACAAAAAGCAGTCGTCATAGGTCAGTTTCAGGTAGCAATAGGTAACATAAATCAAAGACACTAATAAATGTGATGTCAAAATACCAAACATGTTCCAAAACTGTAGAGGGAATATGGCAGAAAAATACTCAACAGCTCTGCAACTGTTGAGTCTGCTGAATGCATCCATTGTTTTGGATGTAAGCAGAAAGGATAATAGACTCTGTAGAAATGATATTCCATTTGACGTTCCTGTCAATGAGTCACAGTAATATGAATTACTCAAATGCTTAGTGTTTCTGAACTTTGTGCTGCTTTTAGTAAATTTTTTCTCCATTAAAGCATTATCTCTTGTTTCAATTTGCTTGTGGAGTTTATACATTGATTCCAAATAAAAAAACTTCTAACACAGAGATTAATTTACAAACCTTGAATGCTAGCAGAACAAAGCAATAATGGAACATTAATGATCTGTTGTATATTTTATACCTGGATTTGCATTAATGATGTTTTAAAAAATCTTGTTTTAAGATTGATGTCTATATCATCTCTCAGAAATTCAATCAACTGAAAAAGAAAATAAAATTTAGTTTTATTAAATTTCAAGTCGTTAATTAATTATTAATGACTAATGAAATTTGAATACTTTTTTAAATCCATTGATGCGAGAATTGTCGAGTGGCATATCATCAAGTATTACTTGAATATGCCAACTTGAAAAGTGATTGCTCGTATCCAACAATACTTACAATCTTCATGTAATGGAATCATTCTGAAATTTAAAAAAATTGATTTTAATGTTCAAGCATTCAAAATAGTTAAAAATTAATAATATAGTTCATTTAATGTAGCAGGATTTATTTTAAGGGTATGGTTCACAATAATCTTCATAAAATTTTATATGAAGAATCAATTCTACATTTTATCAGAGTAATCTTTCCTGTAAAATTACCTTCCTCACTTAACTGGACAGATAAATATAACAAAGTGCACAAAACAAAACATTGTTAATTCCAGTAAATAAGTTCAATGTAAACCTGTCAAATGTTTCAGAACTTAGACAAGATCTAGGCCCACCAGTGGCCAAGTGGTCTTCGTACCCTGAACACTGGGAGTTCGGTTGTGGGTTGGCACCTCGCTCGGACAGGCTAGCCACGAAGAGTTTTCTCGGTTTTCTCCACGTCTGTAATGCCTAAATAGGGACCATTTTCCCTTAAAAAGCTCTCCAGGAAGGCATCACCCCTAGGCAGATCACCCAAGTGTTGCATTGCCATAACTAAACAAACAATGAAACAATAGACAAGATCTACTACAGGTCAACCAATGTTATAAATTGGAATGCACAAAAAAGAATAACAAGACAAAAAAAACATCCTCCTCTTTTCCTTTCATTTGACTAACTTTAGCCAAACATGTCCTTGGTTCAGTAACCCGAGCTCATTTCTTGCAGTTTTCAGGTGATGTCACTATGCGCTGCTTTCAGGGTACACCCAAAATCTCACATATTCCCTATTATACATATTCCCTCTTATACATTATGGTTTTGGCATATAAATTTTATAGTTGGTTGCTCTTCCTATCATTTACCTCATCGTTTACTGGGCTTGGGACTGGCACCTAATGGGTTGGCTTTCCCCCCTCAGTAACTGGTATTTAAAATAATTCATTTCGTTAAAATTATAAAAGACTGTTACTTAAAGAAAATTTAAACCAATTTCACAAGAAAAACTAACACATTAAATGTATTATATTCATTTAACTATCACATCTATTTAATGCATTAGTTAACAAGGTTTTGTTCTGTGTACTTTGTGAAGTTTCTTATTTTAAATTATTATTAACAGTCTGTATTATTCACTGCATTAAAAAATTCAAATGACTACTTTAGTGTTTTTCTAAAATATTTTCCAATGTTGTACTCTTCTACAGAAGATTTTTTCTTACTAATAAAGATACATTATGTATTTTATTCATTAAAAAAAAAGTCAAACAGGGCCTGCTTTATGCCCAGGCCCATACAAGCACTCAACAGCCCTGTAACTATATCACACTACTGCATATCGCCATTAAAAGTAAGAATTAGTTAAATAATAAAGCTATTCTAACATAGTAATAAGTGAATTTATAAAACAAAAACATGTATCATAACAATTAATTTAATTACTTACATAAGATAATTTACATTTATTTATAAAATTATTAAGTAAGACTTTTTAAGAATGGAATACAAAAATGCAATCAAATGGAATACAATAATGATGTAGCAATATACTGACCCATTTTTCAATATTAAAATACTAGTATTAATATAATAAAAATATTCATTTTCTTTCTTCCATGATAAAATAGTAAGAATTATTTCATTTATTTAATACTTTACCTTAATTGTCATATACCAGAGGTGGTTAAACTGTAACTCACAAGCCACGTGTGGCTCTTCTTAGACCCTTATTGTGGATCCGATATACTTACACAATTGCATTTTATGAACTTGGTATGTACTACTTACACATAAAAAAACTTACAAAAATATTATATAACTATTACGTAGTGTAATATACACAGAAGTTGTAAGTGTAACTCTCAACTTAATCTCGAACAGGTAACTGAAAGCTTAGTTTGTATTCATAAACTTGAAGAAGTTAAATTATTACTGGTACTTCATGATGTTAATTAAACAAAGTAAAGTAACATTGATAATTATATTATATATAGTTAAAATACTATAAACAGATGATGAGGCTCTCCAATAGGCATTCCAATAGAGGATGTAACTTCTGTGTATTTCCAATAGGCAGTGTATGGCTTCTATTGTAACAAGGTTTGGCCACCCTTGTCATATACAATCATCAAAAAGATTGATTAAAGTTACAATTCAAAAAGTAACTTAACAAATTTCATAAAGCTAAATTTATCACCAGACTTAAAGTCCAGATTATCCATTTGTTGGTTGTCTAGTGGCACACCTGTATGTGTGTAACATAAGATGATACCAACAGATGTAACATTGATAACAGCTTGGTAAAATGCCAACAGATGACAGTAAATGTTATTTTTAAAACAAATAAATAGTTTTTGTATTTAAAACAGTCTTTCTGAATCATCATACTGTTTTGAGAAGCATATTTGAAAAATAAACAGACAAACAAAGTGGATAAATAAAATGAATGCTCACAATAGTTTTGGATGACTTTGCTATATGTCATCTAAGCTAGACTTGTAGATAAATCTACTGTGTATCCATGATTCCAAATATTTCCTCGTATTTATATATTTAGTATTTAAGTTTATACATATTTTTATATTTTTTATTCAAAATTACATTGTAAACAAAAGATAAGTTATGTTTTATTCAATTCCTATATTATCCAATATATTTCCAATTCTCTTATGTCAGATAAGATACTTCAGCTAGCTCTAATTTAAAATACCAAAACTTAAAGACTTCAATATACTAAAACAACCACTTCACACCTAAGCGATAATTCCAGCAAACGAACAATAAAAAAGGTTTAATGTTCAAATGTTTTTGGCCGTTGTTCAGAGGCCCTCGTCAGGAAAAATTGCATAGAACAGAAAAAACAGCTCTATCTCTAACAGTTTTCAAACATAGTTGTGTTCTAATTTTTAACATTTAAACGATGTTGAATACAAAGATCGTTACGTATTACAACATATAATTAAAATATTTATAAATAAAGTTATAAATAAATACAATAATAACATNTTGGTTTACTAATTTATGAGAAAGTTATTGTATAAAAATGATAACCAAATCTCAAGAATGAAATATTAATATCAGAATCTAAAATATCTCTCTTTAAAATGCCAAAATAAAGCCGATATAAATAAATACAACAATAATAATATATATGGTGTTAATATATAAAATAATATATCTGGTAGTAATAGTATATTCTGTGTTAACAGTTAGCCTGATGTTTTAATGTATAAATGATGTGCGATAGGGAAAAAATTGTTTTCCTTAAAAATAATAATTATGCTTTGTGGCTTTGTAAATACTTCAATATAATTCTAAAAGTGTATTCATGCCAATCACGCATAATTCTCTCAATAAACGTCAAACCAGTCATGAAAATCTCAAACAAGTTCAACAAAAGAGCCTGTTTTGTTGAACTTGTTTGAAAATACTTTCTTTGATTCATTAATTAGATATTAAAACAAAAGTAACATCTCTCAATAATTTTATATTTTAATTTCTTTAGATCTTAAATTCTGCTTCTATATATGAGCCAAACTGTCTATACATGCATATCAATTCAACTATTCAGTATCAGTATTATACAAAACGTTAAAATAACATCAAAATTCTTGTGATAAATCTATAATAAAAAGATCACAAGTCTTAGTAAATTTCTAAAACCACATAAAATATAAAACAAAATGTGCCTGGATTAATAATTCACCACATAACTGTCTCCCAATCAGTGCAGCGAATGACCAGAATGGTTGTATCTTCTATATTTAATTGGTCTGAAAGAGATCAAACAAAGGTCTAGGTGCATAACTGCAATGGATCTGCATGTTAAGTAGAAGTTGCAGGTTCAAGTCCTGCTTAAAATTGGTCTTTTCTTCCAGAATAATCTAAAAATTAGTAATTTAATTCTAATTATTAAAATACTAAATTGAAAAACCAAATTCCAACAGTTTTAATAAGACAAATTAACATTCCATTTTCAAATGTAACCTGACAATGATTATTTAAGATAACCAAAAACATTTTGTAATTTAGCACTTTAATGTAATTGGATAAATGCTAGAGTTAATAGACTTTAATTATTAAATTTAATACAAAATGGCAACTTAATTGCCAACCTTCAGTTCAAATTACATAATATCTACATATTTAATCAGCCAGATTATGGCTCAATGAACCTGATTTGGTCATTTGATTAAAACAAACTGACAAAAAGAACTATCTAAATAGCAAAAAGACTAATAATTTATTGACGTATTGAAAATTTCTATTATTATTATTTGACTGACTCTTTACCTATTTTATTATTTCCATTGCTTTCATTACCATTTTTTTATAAATTTCATATTCAGACTTATAGATTTCCCTTTGTCATTTGTATAGTCGACCCCCCTATAATTATGATTCCTATAAAACTACGAAAAAATTGTGACCGGTATCCGTAAAAAAACAGTAAAAATTCCCTATAATTACCTCAAACGTCATCAGGCAGCCGAACTACTTTCCCGCCGTCCATAGCGCCACGCTACGGAGAGATTTCTATCGTCTGGACAGTATTATATAAATTATATATAAATTAGGTACTGTACATATAATTATATATTAATTATATATAAATTAGGTACTGTATATATAATTATATATTAACTTATTGTAACTTTGTTATAATTAAATATATAATTTCCGCCGTCTAGCGTGGCGCCACGCTACGGAGATTTTTACGCTAACTATCGTCTGTCAGTATGTAAATTAGGTACCGTAAGTCTAATACAGTACTGTAATTTTATACATTTCTTGTGAAAGAAACATTTCTTATTCAACGGCGATTAAAATTATTTATATTAATGATGTCTCCGAAGTTCAACGAAGTTTTCGCAGAAAAATAAGTTATCAGAAATCGGCCGTGGTTTGGTGTGCTGCTTCGCGACGAAAACAAGCTTTAGCAATGGGGTTGTCGAATGGTGCATACTCGGTAAGTAATCCTACAATTTTTTGTTTATAGCGTAGTTTATACGGATTATTTCCAAAAAATATATACGTATTTTGGAAATGTT